CTTATGAAGTGACACCCACTTTAGAATTTTCTGAAGCCTTTTCTTAATAAAAAACTCACTTCCTTCATAAGCACTTAACAAGATTTCAGCAGGTACTCCCCTAAAAACCAACTGTATACAAATCTACACTACTGTTACCAACACGTACCTTGGTGACATCCTTTACATACGAACCTTAAGTGCTTCTGAAACTCACTGGGAGTATTACTGAGGAAGCAGACCTACACAGTGGTGGAAAAGCTAACCATGCGGTTTTGATCACCCTTCATCTCCAAGGAGCACTGCGAGGTAGCGACTGTATGGGTGTTATGGGCAGGTATGTCAAAGTCTCAATTACAAAAAGCAGTAAGCTCAGGTACTCAGCCCCCTAGTAACAGATTTCATTCAGCTGCCTGACTTCAGGCACCCTTCCTGAAGTGGATAAAGACCAGTATTTGTCCCTGGGCATAGGGTACCCTACATATAAGGCTGCTTCAAAAACATATTCTTGGAAGTCTCTGCCATTGGCAGAACTGAGAATGAGGCCCAGGACTGCTGACACCTGTATTTGTACCCACAGCTTCCTACTCTTCTAACACATCATTGCCCACAAACTTTGTAATTTATGGATTACTTGAAAAACAAAGAAAATCCTCTTAAGATAAAACATACACAATCTGAAAATCAATGCAAACATCCACATAATCAAGAAGGATCTTCGCTACCATTTTGCTCAGATTAAGCAAACACTTGTATGTATTTCTGTTCTGAACAAGAATGGGAATGTCCTCCTTTACTGGAATAGAAAAACAAAGTTAAAAGCAACAAAGTGATTGAGTAGCCACAGGCTCTCAGTCACAACCTCCAAGATTACATTCATAATACAGTTTATAAAAGGCTCATAAATGGCTAGTGGAATCTTTAAGTACTTCAGTATTCAAACGGGTTTTAAAACTATGGCAAACAACCCTCTGTTACTTTCTACGTGTGATCACACGTACCTGTAATAGACATGACTTAAAGACCCAATCAGTACATAACATCAGCAGGCTGTATGTTTAGCTATTTCTAAACTATGCATTAAGTTTCTAATAAGAAGTGTAACCAGTGTATCTTTTAAGTGAACTATTTCTATTAATTATTTAGCTACTTCCGGGAACATTCACATCTGTAAGAAATCCTGGTGGTATCAAACCACAATGCAAGTCTGATCCTGGTTAGCAGTTCACAATTAACACCACATATATTGAAAACAGAATTAAGAAACACTAAGAAAATGTTGCAAAATAATGCCAAAAATATTCATTCATTGGAATGAGAGAATGGGCTATTGAAATGACTGAGGCACTGTGAAGAAATAGTGCTTTTTGTGAGTGTTTCTAAAATCACCTTCTGAAGTGCCTCTTGGAAGCCATTTGTACTCATGAGGTCACGTGAAGGCTTGATGAAAGTGCCCTAATTGATTTTACTATTTGATATCCAACAGATGAAACAGAAACCATTCCAAAGGACGAAGCATTACACAAACACAAGCATCTTTGGTGTTGAAGCTATTCAGTTTGACTGGAGTTTTATTTCAACATGTCCCTTAAGACAGAAAAGCAATTAAAAAGATGCCTTTGAAAACAAAGTGCTTTGTCTAAGAAATATCAGCCATCCCTATCAATCTGAAAAAGAATGATTGAGGAAAAGCCCTTAACTGCTAGATCATCTACAGGGGTGAAACCTTTGAGGTTTACATACTGACAGGAGCTTAAAAGCCACTGCTTTAGAACAGCAGTAAATGAAATTGACAGTCTTCCACCATCTGTTAACCAAGAACTTGTCTGATCTCCAGCATCTGCCACTGAGGTCCTGGATCTAAGTTTAACTTCTTATTCAGCAGTAAAATCCTATCTATTTAACAAGATTCTGTGTCTTCACTATCTCAAGCCCTCTCCTGGCCCTCTTACTCCTTACCTCAGCAAGCCTTGAGAAAATCATTGAGCAATTTGCAGAGTTTGGAAGTGAACGACATTGATGACTGCTCTGTGTGGACATTAGCTATGCCAGGACTCATTTCATAAGAATGAGGAGTTTGTCATTTTAAGTTGTGCAGCATTGTATGCCAGATGTCTTCTGCCTTCCTCCCTGGAGACAGCTACTGAGCCAGCTCTGAACAGATGTGGCTTTGCAGACCACCTTCTTCTGGAAGCATCAGATAGTCAAAACACTTTTATGGCCTCCAAACAGTTCATTTCTCTCTTTAAAACAAAGCACACACAAAAGAAACCCTATCTCCACCAGGAAGCAGCTTCCAGCTCTTTTGTTCTGCTCAACTTGTGAACCCATGAGAACCTGCCTCACAGCTGCATAAGTGGAAGCTCTTTCCTCTGTGTTTTATCAGGGAAGATGTTGTGGTGCAGTAGCATCAGGCACAACAGGGATATTCCACCACCACTCCTGAAGCGTTACCCCTAACAGCAGGCTGAAGAAAAGCACGAAGATGGTTC